GAACGTCGCCACCGCAGTTCAATACCAACATCGGGACGCTAGCGAGAGACAGAAACGGATGGAAGCAGTGTTGTAGCCTTCACAACGAGTGAAGACAACTCATCCAAATATCGTAATAATCTAACCTCATTTATGGTCGAAAATGGTTACGATTGGTTCCTCGGTTTACGCTTAACCTCTCCAAATCCCTTTTCTGTCCTGCAGAAAATATTAACGGCACGAGGTTTATATGAATATGCAAATGCAATATATCGCATTTGAGTCCTCAGCTCAAGCATGTGGGAATGAGTAATGTTATGTATACTATCTTTTCCCCTTTTTAACGGTAAGCATGGAAATTTCAAAAATTTATTTTCTTTTTAAAAACTGCCAATGAGATGAGCAAATCAAATGGGAAATAATATATACATATATCGATTAATGAATAAAACAGTGAGGTCATAGGTTCAACAATTCAATTATGGATCAGCTGGAGTGAAAATTGTAATTAATAAACAGGTAAGACTTACACTATTGAACATTATATAGAACGTGTACCCGAGTAAAACCAATAAATTTCACTTTCCACTTCTTCAAGATAGTTTTCCGCTTTGGTATAGAGTATCTTCACAATTTGCTTTTGGTTTTCAATTGTTTTGCCTCTTCAGTCTCACGCCTGTCTTGGTCGTGTAGGGCGCGTCGTAATTTGGAACCGACTTGATATCGATAAGGGACGAGATCAGCTTCAACAACGGTGTCCACTACATTATCAATTGGGTACTGCTTGTTAATATTGCGGACTGAAAAAAAAGTAGAAAATAACAAATATGATGTCTATATTATGTCAAAGGACAAAAATATCAACTAAGTTGTTCAGAGCTAGAACTGGTCCTCAGTCACGTTTTCTACCTTAAACAGCAAGCATAATAAGTGGGGGTCAATTAGGAGCCTAAGGATGCACTGGAGACCAGTTTTCGCACAAGATACTAAGGGCTACTTTTCCCATTTCAACCTCACCATTTATTAGCTATTTGAATATTTTCGAAATAACAATCAAATAAGGTTAATAGCTTATTGCCAAAAATGATCTATACCTGCAAAGGAAGCGCCGATGTCATCTCCAGCAGTGCTGACGTCAAGACGGAATCGTCCTTCAACTTTTGGTGATCCAGACATCTGTAATCAACTTCATTTAAAACTATGGATGTTTGCTTATAGTTTTTGAACGAAAAGGCCATAAAATGAAAGAAAGTGGTCGAAATGGCACTCGTAAAGTGAAGTGTATCAGAAGAGGCCAAAGCATCGACAGTACAATTGCAAGAACAAAGAACAGCAAAAATTCAAATTATGTAAGTAATTAATTAAAACAATGTTTTTTTTCAATTTACAACCTTAGAAATCAAGAAATATTTATGGGGACCAGTTCGTTTTATGATATGATCGCTTCAATCAAAAACGAGAATGAAATAAATATAGAGATCACAGTGAAAAAAATTTTGGCTAGGTTCTTGAATATATAAGGCGTTTATCTGCATGTCAATTGCTGATCTAAGCAGCTCATTGCCTTGAAAGGATTGAACCGAAAATAGCGGCCATTAATGCTGATGCAACGATGTGCTCCGATTACCACACCTCTATTAATTGACTCTTATCAGTTGGGTACAGTGTGGCCTGAGCCGCAAAGAAAGAACGCTAAAAATAAGACTTTGATTCATTCAAAAACAAAATATTTGGATATTTGAAGAACATCCACAATATTATGCTTTTTCCAGGGTTCACTGCTTTAAGTAAATCTATTAGTCATTAAAAGTTGTTGTGAAGTGATGAGAATTGAAGAATCACCAGGCACTGCACTAGAAGTAACTGTGCTTACCTTACTGCCACACCCTTATATTTATAGGGTTACAGCCTAACGCGAACGCTTATCAGTTGTGTGTAGTTTGATGAAGCTTGGATCAGTCTCACCAGACAAATATAGGTTATCGCTACTCGTGAGGCCACCCCTTCGACGATAAACATCAATTCGATTTGAAATGACTTCATAAAACGGAGTTTACGACCGTATCGGAAGTTCTGAGCAACTATTAGAATCAGTCCTAAGCAATAAACGAAGTTAGGCAGAAATTTACGAAAATTTACAGGTTTCCTTAAAACGATTTGGTTCGAAAACAGACATGGTTGGAGTACAAGCTTTTGGAAGATGCGTTCATCCACGCACTAGTTTTTCAAGAGATTCAAAATAGGGAAAGTACTTCTTTTCGCCTGTTCTAAACGCTAATTGATTTCGTTGTAAGCTTGTCTTATATACAGCTCAACTTCACTAAGTTCCCATCCTTCAATCTTCAGTTTACCAGTTAAACTTACAAAGATTGCGGTTGTCTCAAAAAAAAATTTTATTTTCTACAAAAAAAAAAA